CTTGCTAACACATGAGTACTCTGGAAAAAATGGAGGTGACAGATAGATGAAGCACCTGTGTGATTTGTACTACTGTGGACCCCTCGCCACCGTGGACAACCCCTGTGTCCCCAGCTTGGGACAGCTATACCAAAACCAGTGCCATCGTAGCAAACTGGGGGAGATCCAAGGGAGCCACGGATCTGCCCTCTGCGCTTCACCTCCCCTCAGAGTCTTGTGTCTTAGCACATTTATTTATTGCACCTCACTGGCAAAAAAGGAAAGACAACCCCTGGCTGGAGGGAAATGTCCCAATTAAAAAGCAAACGATGCAGTAAAATAGCAGAGCATTCTTGAGAGCAGCGGTAAAAGCGGCCACCTCTTGTCCTCAATTTATGCTGCTCCCATCACCCTGGGCATTATATTTGTGCTGACAAGGATCGGTTTAACCCCTGCCTGCAATCTAATAAAGAGCTGGCGTGGTGGAAGCATGCATAATCCTTCTTCAGTGTCCTAACAATGGGTGCAATAAAAAACTTCTGCTGCTGCTCAGTGGCCACAGCCACTGCCTGGAATAAATAACTCCCTGCCGAATACAGAAGTGGGAAGTTCTTTGGACCAGAGGCTTCTCGGACCCTTGTCCCTTCTGCACTGCCACAGCCCAGGGTGGGCAAATCATCTCAAAATAGATAAAAATGCCAGAATTGCTGTGTAGGTCAGACCAAGGTGTCTGCAATAACTCAGATGCCTGTGGCCTGTGGTGGTGGTCACCCACCCTCCCTCAGTATTTACTAGGGGCAAAGCAAAAGGAAAAGTCCCAAAGGCTCTGCCATCAGTGGACGACAGGATCTTTCCCCTTCTAATCATTAATTGACCGAAGCAGTGTTGCAGAGCTGGCATTATGCTCCGCTACGCTTTGTAATGAAATCACTGCCTGTGTGTAAGAAACAAATTTAATGATGTGATGCTAATAGGGCTAGAAATTTCCCGTGCAAATATTAATAATTTATAGCTACGTTCATTTTTTTAATACTGCTTGTGCTCTCTAACAAGAAAATACCGAGGTCTACCAGCCCCTCTCTGCACCAGCCCCAGATCTTATCTGGGGAGGGTGCAGTTGTTTCTGGGCGGGAGACAGAGGCCCCCAGCACGATTTCACTGGAGGCGCAAATTAGCATTTGGGAATCATGTCCTGGCCTGCAACCCTGGTTTGAAAAAGAGATGATGCTTAAAAACACAAGCGCTGCTTGCACGGCACCAACCAGCAGCAGGAGATGGATGGAGAGCTTTGGTGCTGCCCAGGCCCCTTCCCAGGGACATCTCTGCAACACCAGCACTGAGAGCTGGAGCTGTTAATTGCTTATTAATTACCTCTGCAACAAACCTGGGTGAAACGAGCCCAAGGGTTTCAGATCACACTGGGCACCTGTGTTTTGAGGCAGCTGGCAGCAAAAGAGGGATTTGAGGGAGCCGGGGAGGGGAGCATTTTATAGAAATAGGGAGGGATTTGTGTTCAATGTCCTCTTTTCCAGCAGTAAAAAAAAGTATCTTAAAGGAAGGGCAGTGACTGGAGACCTGAGGGGCTGAAAGAGAAGATAATTCCCTCGGACAAGCATAATTGCTGCAATTCAGAATGCTAAAAATGGGAAATTAGAAATAATCAATGGCTGTTTATGATCTGTGTCTATACTGTGAATTCAGCTAATACGGAGTAATTACACTGTGCTAATTTCTGGTATTTGTCATCGTTCGGTTGCAGAGGAGTCCTGCAAAACAATAAAACCAGATTGGCTGTGCTGGGCCCACAGACTGGGGGCTTAACGCTGCACGAGCTGATTTCTTTTTCAATGGTAAAAGCGGTTATGATTTGCCTTATTTATTTTTCTCTCCTAGCAGCAGAGCCGGCGGCAGTGGGCTGCGCTGCCGGGGCTGCAGCGGATGCGCTACACAACAGCACCCCCAAAAGCCAGCACCGCCGTGCTGCTGGGCGAGACCCGCCACACCAAACCCCCTTCACCGACCAAACACCACCCTTCCCCTCCTGTGAAACTGCTTTTTCAGTGTTTTGCCCGATATTACGCCATCATCCCTCCTACCAGGCTTTGTCCCCCACGCGTTTCTTCTTCCAGCCCATGGGGCACAAGGTGACCCCGCCGGAGTTTCGCCCCGATGCTCGGGCTGTGCTCGGTCACTGGGATGCAGGTGACACCTGTGGGATGGGTTGTCGGTGTGTTGGCGTGATTCACTCTTTGGTCAGTGAAATACTGCTGTTTGTTAACCTGGGCAGAAGCGGAAGGAGGGGTGTGTACGGGAGCAGGCTGCAGTTTACAGTTTACTGCTGGGAGAATAATCCCCCGCGTGACGCAGGCGGGGAGGTGTGGAGCATAGGAAAAACCCTTGCCCTCTCCCAGATAGCATGCAGGAAACGCAGGTGGGGTTTAACAGTAGATAAACAGAGAAGGAAAGGACTGTTACCTTCTAAAGGTGCTGCATTTAACATCTGGGGTATGTGGCTTGGCCCAGCATGAGCAATCTGAAACCATAAAGCCCCAGCACTTTTCAGGACAAAGGTTTGGCAGTGGCCAAACCTTTCCTAAGAGAATTTGCCATGAAGTTGTCCCAGAAGGCACCTTCCTGCAGGGCAGCATGTCCCTGCAGGCACTGTGGAGCCCCACAGACAAGGGGTCTTCAGGGGGACAGCCTGCCCAGGGAGGTGGTGGAGTCGCTATCCCTGGAGGTATTTAAGAAACGTGTAGATACGGCTCTTCAGGGCATGCTCTAGTGTCCAAGATTATTAGTTTGTGAGTGGGTGTGATGTGGTGGGGTGTTGTGTGTGTTGGTGGTGTTTTTGGGGGTTTTTTTGTGGTTGGACTCGATGATCTGAGGTCCCTTCCAACCATGATGGTTCTGTGACTGTGATTCTGTGATTCTCCCGATACTGAGCTTTCATAGGAAATAGCTCCTGGGAGGGACGGTCCTGCACCCACTGGGGCTTTTGGGCAGGAGCCACCAGTGCCCCAACCCTTCCCACCACCCGCTGGCACAAGGAGGGAGGAGGAGGAGGAGGAGAAGAACAGCTCCTTGTCCACCAGCTCGCTCCCACCAATCTTATCACAATGCTCATTGTAGTGTGGGGACTTTGCACCACAGATTATTCATCCCTCAGCCTGGCAGCTTTTTGATATCATATCTATTATTTTTTTTTTTAATTTCTCTTTCACAGTATTATGCAGAAGCCTCCCGGGGGGGGAGCCTGCAGATGAGACTGATGTAATTCCATTGCACTGCACAAGTTAATTATTTGCCAAGTAGAGACCAATCTGACGCCTTGTTCCCAGCACTTGCTGTATTCACTAATGTCATGTGTGACCTAAAAGCACCTTTCTGCCACGTGCCACGGTGGATGGGCAAAGCCTGGGCTACCCCAGGGCACGAGGACAGGACACGAGGGCTCCCCACACCAGCACCAGTGCTTCCCACAAGAAAAGCACACAGCTCCTCATCCTCCTCTGTGTTTTCAGGGAAGACAGCCAGTGGAATGTGCAGTGGCAGAGAGCAGAAGCTGTTCACACAAGGTTTCTTCACTGGGATGACGAGGCCCCCAGCCCCACTGATGGTTTTTTTGCTTGTTTCCTCTGCAAGCGGCAGCACCGTCTCCATCTCCAGGGATGGCCCAGGGGACCTCAGGTCCCTTGAAGCAGGAGGTCAAACTCATCACAAAACGGGCCTCCTTCAGGTGCTGCAAGGAGCCATGGGCTGGCTCCTGTGGAGCTGGGAGCCAGGGGATGGAGCAGAGACTCGGGCTGCTGCTCAGGGCACTTTGATACTGAGCCGAGCCAGCTATTGCCGGCAGCCAAACAAACTGATAGGAAGGATATTTCCCCGGAGAGGGAGGAGGTTTCTGATTTAGGCTGCGCTGTTTAAGCCTGGAGTCTCACCACAGCTAAAATTTCCTTCCGAGGGCAATAATTACCCCAGGGCAAAGCCCAGGCCTGTGTTTGCTTTCCTGCTCCCTGGCTGGAAGGTTTCGGTGGGGAGGCTGTGATTTCCCAGCACTCCGGCCACATCCAGCACCCTTTGCCCAGCACTGGGGCACAGCACCGCGGGGGGGAGGGCAGGCAAAGAAAAGCTCAGTGCACAGTTTTCTGCAGAGAGCACCCTCTGGTATTAAACTAATCACCACTGAGCAGTGTCGGTCCCACGGGGGCTCTGCTCCAGCCTTCCACAAGCTGCTGTCCCAAAGGCAGCCCTCCCACTGCTGGCCCCGAGTCTCCTCTGCTGGCTCTTGGCTGAAAACTGCTGTAAAAGCTCGAAGAAAAGCCGTTTGGTTTGTCTAAGTGATGGGAACAGAAAAGAAAAAGGAATGGGAACGCTTTTGTTCTCGGCTGCCAGGTAAATGAGGTTCAGCTTTGGAAAATGTATAGAACCTCTAGCGCTGACTGCAGAGCTGGAGTCTCCAAGGAGTGATTTCCTCCTTCAGAAACATAATAATAACAATAAATGATTAAAAAGAAAAAGGCCTACATCTATATGTACAGTTAACTCAGGACTCCTCTGGAGTTCAGGACTGCTGCTGGATAAATAAATGCTTATTTGAAAAGGGAACCCCCAGCCTCCTGCCAAGGAGAGGCAGTGAAGTGGCACACAGGGCCAGCCCGCACACATACAGCACAGCCAGGGGGAAAACCCAATGGATGGGGTTATTCTGCATTTACCCCGTGTCGGGGGACACTAGTCCTGCCTTCGTGCCCAGCCGCTCCTGTCACAGCACCCTCTGCCAGCCACACTGCCCACAAAGTGCTGGCTTTGTGTGGGTGCAGAGGGTCAGGCTGGTGACCACCCTGGGAGAGGTTTTCCTCTTCTGATGCGGCAAAAAAAGCAAGTGCCAAAGCGGGGAAAGCCTCCAAAGGAAACACATGAACTCACACCCACAGCAATGACTTTTTTTTTTTTTTTGTTCCCTCCCCTCCCCTGGGACAGCTGCTCCCAACCACTGCCGGTCACGGTGCCCGTGGGGCGGCACGCCAGGGTGCCCAGCCCTGTGCCAGGCGGTGAGATAAGTCTCGGGGAGGTGCCGTGAGTCAAGGAAGGCCGTGCTGGGCTGTGCAGCCACACCGCCACGCTGCAGGGCACATGTGCCCCAGCTCCCTGGGATGCCCCGGCACCCACGCAGCCTGCCGAGAGCGACAGCACACCCGGGACGCTGAGCGGTAAGTACACTCGTCCCATCCCCGCTGCCTCACGGAAATGGGGGTTCTAGAGCATGAGAGAAATAATTCCTTTCTGCAGCGCTTTTCTTTTGGCTTGCTGGCAGGTTAGAAGGTTACACAGGGAAGAGTTGTTCCTCCTTCTCTAGCGTGGAGGTGAAGGGGGGACCCCATGCGCTGGCATCCTTTCCATGGAGTGCAGCTGTGCCGGTTTCATAGACAGAATTAATGAATGAACTGTGGAGGTGAAGGGGGGACCCCACGCGCTGGCATCCTTTCCGTGGAGTGCAGCTGTGCCAGTTTCATAGACAGAATTTATGAGTGACCTGTTAACAGCAAGGGTTAAATCTGCGTTTCCACCCATTACGGGATATGTAGTAGAATCAGCTGTGTGATGTGTGGTCCAGGTCAGATCTCTTTATCTAGCATGGCTTTGGATGAATTAGCAGGGTGTTCACCACGCAATGCCCCAGCACACAGCCACGACTGGCTGGGACACTCCCAGTCACCAACCGGGAACCCTCGGGGTGCTGGCATCTAGGGCTTTTCTAGCTGCCAAAAATGAGTTTCAGGTCCTCCCATATGTGCAGTCACTAAAAAGCAGAGTCCTCTGCTGTGGCTGCCCCGTGGAAGGACTCCAGCAGAGCCCACACTTAACCCTGGGCTTTCATCCCCTGCCCAGCAGCCAGCTTGCTGCCACCCCCGACGCAATGCCCCAGCACACAGCCACGACTGGCTGGGACACTCCCAGTCACCAACCGGGAACCCTCGGGGTGCTGGCACCTAGGGCTTTTCTAGCTGCCAAAAATGCGTTTCAGGTCCTCCCATATGTGCAGTCACTAAAAAGCAGAGTCCTCTGCTGTGGCTGCCCCGTGGAAGGACTCCAGCAGAGCCCACACTTAACCCTGGGCTTTCATCCCCTGCCCAGCAGCCAGCTTGCTGCCACCCCCGAGCACCACCACGGGTGTCCCTCCTTTTGCCCTGGGGTTTTGGCACCAAGGGCTTTGGTACAACGTGCAATCCATGGCACAGGGATGGCCACTGAGCTGCTGGCCACCATTCCCACCACAGAGGGGATGCCATCGCTCACCTCCATCTCACCACTGCCACCGGTCTTGATTCCCTGCTCAGGGTAACCCCACCAGAGAGGCGAGTGGATAATGATTTAGCTTTTGGGCTCAGTGACAGAGAACTGGACAAGTGGCTGCCAACGACAAATAAGAGAACAAGAGACCAAATCGGCGGCAGCCACGGATGGGTGACACTCCTCGGGCAGCCAGGTGCAGGATGGGCATGGATGCACCTGCAGCAGGCACCGAAACCACCCCGTGCCCTTTGCACCGGCCCCATGGCCCGGCTTTCCCAGCGGCACTTCCCGGTGTCACGTCCCGCCTTGGCTCCGGTCCTGCCACCACAGCCCCACATCTCTGCCCACCGCCGCACACAGCCTGTTCGGCCTGTTTCAGGATCAGGCCTCACCCCGATTAACAACTGACTTGTGCTGGGGGCAGCTTTACCCTCTGCAGCCCTTTGGTGGGTGCAGCAGCCGGCCAAGCTTTTTTATGTGCCGAGGAATTTATAAGCCCTCTGGCTGAGTAGCTCAGGAAAGCTCAATGGGATTGTCACCTTTTGAGACTAAAAATTGCATCGCGGCATCCTCCATTCTCCTGTGGTGGGCCCAGCCCTGGCCACACAGTGAATGTGAGTCCATCCCGCACCAGCCCCTCTTCTGCACCCCCCTGTTCAGTTTCACAGAAAAACCCTGATTTTTGGAGCAGTGACTCACTGGGTGTGGGCATGGGTGACATCTGGCAGCCGCCCTCTTTGGAGCCGCATCCCAGCCCTGCACCAAAATGAGGGCTCATTTGTGGTCAGGGACCTGCTGGGAGAGAGAGGGATGTGTGGGGCTCCAAAGCAGGAAGAAGAAAAAAAAAAACAAAACAAAAAACAAACCAAAACTGAACCCACAATGCCAGAAGTTTCTGGGGAAGAGAAGTTTTCCTCCAGTGCTGGAAAGGAACAGGAACATTCACCCACCACGTTCTGGAAACCCTCCCTGTGAGGGCAGTGAGCTGCCTGGGTTTCTTCTTGGCAGCAATAACTCAGCGCTGCCAAGCGGCACCTCAGTTCTGAGCAGGAGGTGGAGCCTCTGCCTTACGCCACAGAGCTCTTTGCCAATGTTTATCCAAGAACCTTTTTGTTCCTGGAAGGGTTTTTAAGCAAATAAATTTCAGTTTTATTAGACAAATACTCTCTTTATCACCCACCGCAGTTCCTTCCTTTCTTCTTCTCCTGCAAGTCGCTCTCTGGCAGATGCCAGTGTTTTTTTTCCTGGAAAAAAAAAAAGAGAGAGAGAAAAAAAGAAAACATAAGGGACAAAAGTAATCTGAATAATTAAAAGAGAATATCATAGAAATCCCAGGACAGGGCTACCCTCTCGTAACACAATCAGGTTCCAGGAATTTCACCACCCAGGGATTTTTCCCAACAAATTTTACCTGGGATTAAGGTGAAGATAAATAGCCCAATAATTAAATTACTTCCCTAAAGCAGGAAAGTTTATCGTTTTATTTTTCCATTTCTCTCCCTCTGCAATGAAATCAATACATGCATAGAAAAAAAATAAATTTGGGGAAGGAGAGCACTGTGCAACGGGCCCCAGTGAGGCCAGTGTCCCCTGCAGCGGCAGGGACAGTTTTGCAAACCCAGTTTGCTGGGTTTTGCTCCACTCAGTGTCCAAATCACAGCCTGGGTCCGAATCCTCACCAACTCCAGGCTCTGCTCACGGGATTTGAAGGAGAACTTGACAAGGTCCAAAAGCAAACCAATACCAGTTTCCAAGACTTTGCGATGTGCCAAAGGGGATTTTAAGGACTGCTCTTCTGCTCCCAGCACACCCACCACCAGATCAGGCACTGGGCTGGGGGCCAGGTGTGGGAGAGACCCCCTGCATTTAAGAAGCAAAACTTCATGCTGGAAGAACCAAAAGGCAAGACCCCAGTGCTGTCCCGCCAGATCTTGCCGTGGGCAGCATCTGAGCTTTAAAACCTTTAAACTGCCCATTTTCAGGTCTCTGACTCTTCCACTGGCTCAGTGAAATGGACTTGTTCATGTCAGCTCTGACACAAGGTTAAAACCCATTTCAGGGATACCATGCTGGGGGGCTGGGATGGGCCAGGACAAGGTGGCGCAGGGAAGCGCTGTGGGTGCTGTGGACCCCTGTGCCACCTCCTGCAGAGACAGATTCCTGCTCACGGCCACTCACCCCCGGGAGAGGAGAAGTGAGACACCACTTGGAAGCGCATGTGCCAAGCTGGTACACTATCAAAAACACACTGCCGTTACACAGGAGGGTACACAAATACCTTCCAAGGCTTCCTTTAAAATGCAGATAAGCCATGAGGCCACACTCCCATGGGAAGCCGCTAGCTCCCGCTGCAGCAGCCTCACGGCAGACCCAGCAGCAGCGGGGGGACCTCGTGGGGAGCAACGCTGGCCCCCAGCTTTGGACAGCCTTTCCACCAGAAAGCAGCAGCTTTCCTCCTGCACTGCAGATTGGTGTCCTCCTTGGTTTTAAGGCTGCCTACAAGCTCCATATGGTGATGCTTCAACTTACCCCAGGGTGCAGGGAAAGCCAAGGGGGTGCATCCCACTGTGGCACCCAGGGGAGATGCTGGATGCATCCCACCCGTGTGCCCAAGGGAGGACACTGCACCGTGGCCATGGTAAACCACATGCCCATGGGTACTTGCCCTGAACTCAAGCGCTGAGAGGGGACCTGGAGCAGGGCTGGGCAGGAGGTAAAGTTTTCTTCCTCATGACACAGCAGCCTGAAATTAGCTTTCAGCCCAGCCCTGCTATAGCCCTTTGCTCCTTATTTACCCTTCAAACAGGAAAAGCAACTCTTAGCATAGCTTTTTTACAACTTTTCTATGCCAAGCCTGCTTTAGATAACATTAGGCTCTTTAACTCTGAGCACAGGTCTCACAGACTACAATTTGCCTTAGGACTCCAGGCTGGTTTCCAGGACGGACATTTACCAGGCTGCATCCCCAAATTTTAAAGGTAGGAGGGGAAGCCCAGTTCACAGGGTGGAAGGTGCCCATCCTTTGGGGCTGGCAGTGGAAGGGAGGGAGAGAGGGAGGGGGGCAGAGACACTTGTTCGGGTAGGAAATCATTGTGGAATCATAGAATGGTTTGGGTTGGAAGGCACCTTAAAGATCATCTAGTTCCAACCCCCCTGCCCTGGGCAGGGACACCTCCCACTAGACCAGGTTGCCCAAAGCCCCGTCGACACTGGTCTTGAACACTTCCAGGGATGGGGCATCCACAGCTTCTCCGGGCAACCTTTTCCACTGTCTCACCACCCTCACAGAAAAGAATTTCTTCCTAATATCTAATCTAAATCTACCCTCTTCCACTTCAAAACCATTACTGCTCACCCTATCCCTACAATCTCTGATAAAGCATCCCTCCCCATCTTTCCTGTAGACCCCCTTTATTGGGGGGGCTGTAAGGTCTCCCTGGAGCCTTCTCTTCTCCAGGCTGAACCTCAACTCTCTCAGCCTGTCTTCATAGGAGAGGTGCTCCAGCCCATAGTTTACACTCTAAATTACCGCCACTCCCCATTCATGTGGGTGAAGATGCTGCAGGATTTGGACAAGAGGAAACATTTCTGTTGTTCACTCAGGCGTCCCCAAACCTGGCACTGCTCTGCCCAGCTCGGCAGTGCTGCCCTTCTTCCTTTCCCTCTCTGGGAAGGACAAGCTTGTTCTCACAGATTCCTCTGACTGGGCTGGGCCAAATCGCAGCTTGGCCTCAGACGGCATTTCGCACCTCCTAATATTTGAAACCTGTTTTGCATAATCCCAGAAGGAAATCAGAATAAAATGCAGCAAAGCCGTGGTTGAAAATGTGTTCCCTGAACTCATCACAACAGAAAAGTGTGATCTGTTACTGAGAAAAGGACATGAAACAGGAATGCGCAGGGCAGCAGACAGTCACCGTGAAGAGTTCAGAGGCTTAAAAATTAAGTAAGCTCAGTGAGAGCAGCCTGATCCACTGTATGGGAGCCAGGACTTCAACACCAGGGGGGAATCAAGGACATGTGCCTGATAAGACTTTATACACCTTTTGTGACTCTTAGTTATTGCAAATATGCCTAAAAATAGCAAATATTGTTTCATGCAATATCTGACTGGCTTGGGAGGGTTACAGGATGGTATTTCCTTCTTTGTCCTCAGGGTGATTCGTGACTGTTGGCCACCCACTCGGTTGTGCTCTCTCCCCCCTCCCCATCATGCGAGTGGCAGGTAAGAAGGGAGACAGAGAGATTTACTTTGCTCTGTCCATTTTTCTCCAGTTCTTTCTGCTTCTCTCTCAGTTACAGGGCTGCTTCCAAGCCCAGCTACCCTCGTCTTCCCCTGCCAGGGCCATGGGAAAGGGCCTTTGTATAAACATCAGGTTTTTAAAAGATTTGTGTAGATTTCAGCCTGTTGTATTTTTCCTAGTGAAACCTTATGTGGCTGGGAAGAGATGGCTGTTGAGACGTTCCTGATTCCATAAGAGCCATTCAGCTGCAATAGAAGTATATTTTTCTACTCTCTTTCCATGCAGGACTGGAACGTTTTGCTCTGATGAGCGCTGCTTTAAAGCCAAATGCCAATCACATTTGTATTAGCAGCTGCTCAGCTGTAGCTAGTGACTAATTGGGGGATAGCAGCCTTCCCAGAGCTGGGAACGTAAGAAATATTTGGACTTACATAGCTTTGTAACTAATTATCAGATTTACTTTAATGCAGAGAGAAATAGGAATAGTGCTTCCCAGTAGAAGGGCAATGCTTATCTGAACATCTCCATACACCCCAGAGATACTAATTAAGAGATCAGAATTCTTTCAGGGGAAGAAGGAAGGAGTGTTAGCATGCCACACAAGTGCTGGCTTTCACCCTGTGCCTGGGTAACCTGGGGACACACAGACCAAGTCCCCAAGTAGCCAGAGGGATGGCCCAGTCCCTGACCCACGTTGCTGCTGCTCTTACCTGGCTCCTCTCCCACCCCTCACAGGCGTGATCCGGTCGGTGGTACTGCTCCTCATGCTGCTGGGCACGTGGTTCGTCATGCAGACATATTTTGATCACAGGTGGAAAGTCATCAACCCGCGGAGCTGGCTCGGTGAGGCAACGGTGGGGCTCCAGATGGGTCCAGAGGGAGGGTGTGGGTGGCTCCATTGCAAGCCAGACCCAAGAGCTGCATAGAATTGCCATGAACATTTGCACTGACCAAGGCTGTAGCCACCAGCTCTGACCATCAGGGCAGGGAGGGAACAGTACAGTGGGAAGCTGCACCAGGGCAGGGGCTCCGGAGGTGCTCACAGCCATGGGGAAGGGTTCTGGATGGCTGGCTTGGGGAAGAGCCAGCAGCTCTCTGGGGTGTCTAACCCTCCCGCTTGGTACCCACAGGTGTCAACAAGCCCAAAAGTGAGTACTGCTCTCGACTTCATCTCCATCATGCAACGCTGCTCCAGAGCTGAGGGCAATGGTGGAAGTGCAATAGCTGCCCTTGAAGTGGAAGTGCCAAAGCTGCCCCTTTCCCAAGGCAAAATCCCACCCTCCCAAACGGGGGGGAATTCCGTTATTGCAAACAACAGCAGTGTCTTTGGTGGGCTCTGCGAGCACGTGAACCTTCACACAATCCCCCTGCCCCAGCAGAAACACCCCTGGGTCACAGGTTACAGCAGGGCACAAGTCAGGGGCCCTGGTCTGGGCAGCGTGGCACAGGTTCCTACCCTGGCCAAGAACAAGGAAGCTCCAGGCAGAGAAGCCACAAGAGGCTGGCCTTGAACAAGTTCCAAATGATCCCTTGCACACAGTCCTCTGCAGTCCCCATAGCATCAGCCATACCATCCCACTGCTCACTCCTGGAGCAGCACCCAGCACCCCAGCCAGCCCGTCCCACCCCACCCTAAGCCTTGGCACCATAAACCTCAAACAAGAAGTTATCCCAGGCCCAGGATAAGCCTCCTTCATGCAAGAAGCTGGTCCAGGTGTTTCCCCCTTAGTGGCCCAATGTGCCCCAGTGCCAGCCCTGCTCAACCCTTTGGGGACACAGCTAGTGTTCCCCTCTGGGGCCAGTGCCATGGTTTCCAACTCTGCTCCTCCCTTGTAGCCACGCAGCTACCCCGGCACAAGTGCGGGAACCAGAGGAGCTGCCCCCAGAACTATTTTGCCTTCAAGATCACCAGCGGCGCCGCAAACGTGGTGGGACCCTCCATCTGCTTCGACGACACAATGTAAGCAGCACGTGGCAGGGATGGCCTGGGCTTGTACAGGGCAAGTTTGGTCTCTGCCAAGCACATCGATGGCCATCACAGTGCGTTCGTGGTTAAAAAACTTTCTTTGTTAGTGCTTCCGGGGATATTTTGCTGTCTGCAGCCAGTTTGCCCTGTCACAGTTTCACTGGCACCAGCATCTCCAGGGCATCCCTGCACTTACTAGTGCTCTCTGATTTCCTTTCCAGCATCATGAGCAGTGTGAAAAACAACATTGGCAGAGGCCTGAACATCGTGCTGGTGAATGGTGAGTCGGGTGGGCACAAACCCCCTTCTCCCCACACCCAGGGTCCCTTCCTCCCCAGGGAGGGAACAGGCCTCCGGGGAACCTGTCCCAGGCACCATGGCTGAGCCAAAAGCACATCAGTCCAGGTGCACAGCATGGGGTGCACAGCCACAGCTCTGGTTGCAAGCACTGCCAGGGAGATGGGAACAAACCCCCCTGGGTCGTGTGCTCCATGGGGTCCATGAACTCCACCAAGCAGCACATTCACCGTCGCAGCAAATATGACAAGCAGCAAATACGATACAGCAAAGCATTTTGCAGCAGGAACCCCAAGCTGGTGGCCAGGCAAAGCCTAGAGCTACCTCAGTGAAACTCACCGTGCTCTGTTTTGAATTTTAACCTTTCAGGAACAAACGGGAAGCTCCTGAAAACGGGCATATTCGACATGTACTCCGGAGGTAAGTGTGGTTGCTTTGCTCCCAGCCAGGGCTCACTGCTGGCTGCCGGCTTCTTAGGCTATTCCTGTGTCGTGTATTTAAGATAAAGTCTAGTGGACTTTGATCAGGATTGCTAGCTCAGGTGGTAAAAGCTCATTTTCCCCTGAAACCATTGAATCTGGAGGCCTCCTAATGTATCTGCATCCAAACTTGGCTTCTCACTCCTTTTACATGCAAGTAATAGCCTGAAAAACATAATTCCACTAACCTGAATAAACCCGGGCACTTGAGACCTGAGAGAGGTTACTTTCTGAGATGAGGTGGTTACACTAATCCTGAGATTTTGCAACTTTCAACACAGTTTTTCAACGTTAGTAGTGTCTGAGCAGCAGCTCGTTTCCCTGCCTTTTGCAGGAGGATAAATGAGGAGCTCAGGGCATGGCAGGTGAGATGTGGCCCCCAGCCCCAGTGAGGCCAGGCACAGGGAGCAGAGTCTGGTGGCAGCAAAGACCCCGTCCCTGTGCCTGCCAGCTTCAAACAACCCTCCTAACAGCAAGAAGATGCCCTGAGCTGGGGCAGCTCCCACTCACAGCCCAACTGGCACTGACCTTCAGGATGCTGTAAATCCCATCATTGTTGCTAAGCTGTTACCAAACTCTCCAGAGTTATGGCAGGACTCCTCAAAATCACACTACAGACACCACTATAGTGCTTTTGAATTATTCTTGCTTTTTGCAAGCCTTCCCTGGGGATCCATCACCCTTTCTGCTTTTGGGGTTTGCAACCTATTCTTAGTAGCTCCAGAGTTTTAAGGAGAAACACCAATATCATGAGATTTCAGGCTGAGTTTGCGAGCGAGATGCACGGTGGGAGAGGCAGCGGGAAGGAGGCAGCAGTCGGCTCCTGTGCCACTAGATGGGGTGTTGGACTCGAGCATCCCATGGATGCGGGATGAGGAATAATTCCCACTGCACAGCCAAAGGCATGATGGCAGGGCAGGCAGCTCTGCGGCCGAGCAGGTTCATTTCTTGTGTTGGGAAGTAAACTCAGGTAACTAGATTTCACAGTTAGGGAGAAAACTTCAGATGCAAATCCCCCCCTGCAGTTGTACTGGCAGGAGGAAAGCGCCAGCCCCAGGAGCTGCGGGACAGCCCAGGTGGGAAGACAAGATGGGGAATGCCACATCTGGAAGCCTGTTCTTCCCCAGGCCCATGACCTCAAATCCTGGCTAGAACCAGCACAGCCAGGACACTTCCCACCATCCCAGAGGAGGTTCCCCCAGCCGCCATGCAGCAGCCCCTGCTAAATCGTTTTTTCTTTTCCTCATGCTCTTCTCTCCCAGACATTAACAAACTGGATGCCTTCCTCCAAGAGATCAAAGTTGGCACCATCGTGCTGGTATCCAGCTATGATGACCCTGCCACAAAGTGAGTTTGACCCTGGAAGCAACACCTGGCTCCCCAAAAACCCACAGCTGGGGGGAGCTGGAGGTGCTGCTGCCAGCAGCAAGGAGGGGACAGCAGAGGACACCCACCTGGCACCGCACTAACATCTTCTTACCCGCTTTCAGGATGAATGCCAAAGTACAGGCACATTTTGAAGCGCTGGGCAGCAGCCACGTGAGGAAGCTGGGCTTCCGGGACAACTGGGTCTTCTTGGGAGCCAAAGGGATGAAGAACAAGAGCCCCTTTGAAGAGGTACATGGCCCTTCCCTGCCACCAGCTCTAGAGGCTCCCATCCTCTTCATAGCACCTCCTGAGCCACGTCTCACCTACCTCTCTGCAGAAGACATGGGCCAATGGTGTTATCCCCCACATCAAGCCAAGCTGCAAGTTTTGTCACGGTGCAAACTTGTGCTGTGCCACCAACCTCCTCATTCATTTTTTATCTCTCTCTCTCTTTTTTTTTCCTGCAGTACATCAAAAACGATAGGAAAACAAATAAATATGATGGCTGGCCTGAGATGCTGGAGATGGAGGGCTGTACCCCCAGGAAGATGGATTAGCATCAAGCCCCAGCCTGCCATGAAGGGAAGCTGCCACCAGTCTCACAGAGACACCAGCCCCGTCACACCGACCCCAGGTCCCACCACCACATGGTCACACAGCCCAACACACCTGCCTGCTCCCAGGGACTGGCTATTTCAGAGCAGGGGCTGCGCAGGACTTGGAGAAGAGCTGTACAAGTGCCTGCAGAGCCTGAGCGAATGCCCAGCCAGATTTCAGACAAGCTGTCCTCATCTATGGGTCAATCTGGAGCATTCAATTTTTCTGTCTTTAAACAAAAAAACTTTGTATGAAGGTTTTTCACATTTCTTAAATAAGATATCTAATTATAAAACACTGCCTTCTCATTTCCATTTTCAAGCATAAACCGTGCTTTTCCCTGCAGGCACAGCATGCCACGTCTTCTACCCCCAAGCCGGGCATCACCATCACCTACCCCACAGCACTGCACACGGGTGCTCCCTCTCCCCACGTGACACAGGGCAAAGTAATCCCTGGGGATGCTCAGACCTCGGTGGTTTCCCCCTGGAGCTCCTGCCAATCCCTGCCCCCCTGTGCTGTCTCCTACAGCCACAATAAGGCCAGAAGGCCACAAGGATGACTTGCAGCAAAGCAGGTTAATATTTGCAGACCAAAGCATCTCCCCCACCGGTTAGCATCTATCCTGGATTAAATCCAAGCTAGATCCTACGTGGCACATCCCCATTGAAGGTCAGGGTAATGCCAGGGATGTGCCAACCAGACTTTGCCCTGGAAGAGGGAGGGATGGGTGTGCAAGTTTCTCAGGCAGCTGAAGTTATGCAGCATAACCAATAGGTGGGAGCCTTTTACCGGGAGAGCCAGAGCCAGCATCAGTCTGGAGCGACAGGACACACCAGGGCTGGCAGCTCCCTGTGGGCACCCACACACCCGCCTTGCTCCGGGAGCTGCACCCCAACCCGGGGCTGGCCAACTTCGCTGGGAGAGGAGATCCCTGCCCAAATGCAGGCCGGCAAAGCCCCACAGCCCTCCTTCCAGGGTACTTCCCATGCTGCTGTCCAGTGCCGAGGAAGTCCTGGAGGAGCATCTGCCCCCCTACCCATGTCCAGGTGCGTTCACCCAAGCATCGTCTGTGCCCAAAACCTCCCCCGAGTACCACCGCTGCTGAGATCTGGTAAGCTGCAATGGCCTGGGCCTATCTGTCACCATAGTCATGAATAAATTTGCATCATACGCAGGCTTCGATTTCCTACGATCGATTGTAGCTGGGTTTTCCCCATTCTTTAAAGCAGACCAGAAGTTTTGCAGAACGTGAGGGTGGAGCATTTCTGCTGGAGTGCTTGGAGCTGTGTGGGTACCACAAGGCAATCCTGCACAGCCTTTTCTGCCTCTAACAGCAGGGTTTGCCCCACCACAGCTTCTAACAGGCAGTTCCCATCAGTTACCTGAGCCCCCAGGTCACCCCAGGGAAGCAGAAGAAGTAAGGAGCATTGGCAGGATAAGGCCAGAAGAAAAAAAAAAGACACAGCCTGTCCCGCACCAGTCACCTTAGGGATGAAACCTTAAGGATCCAAAACCCAGCACCACCATCCAAAAACAGTGAGGCAACCGGTTTTCCCTAACCAAGGAAAAATCCAAAAATAAATTGTGTAACACCTATAAGAACTCCCAAAGGTAAAACTGAAGCAGAACTCCAAAAGAGCCATCACAGAGGAATTCCCCAATAGCCGTAGTATTTTATCCCAGCTTATCCTCCTGTGCTCTTAATGTGCACCTGATCGTGCTGAGGGAAGCCTCTGCCATAAATCGATCCCTAAATCTGCTGCACCAGCAGCGGCTCATCCCGGGCGCTGAATCATCCCTTCCCGTGGCAGCAGCGAGAAATAACACAACGCAACAGACACAACAGCCCTCACATCACACAGCCCCACCGCGCTGCCAGCATAAATATGCCAAGTATTTTAAGCCCCCTCAAAGGATCTAGATTCGGCCGAGGGAAGCCTCTGCCATAAATCGATCCCTAAATCTGCTGCACCAGCAGCAGCTCATCCCGGGCGCTGAATCATCCCTTCCCGTGGCAGCAGCGAGAAATAACACAACGCAACAGACACAACAGCCCTCACATCACACAGCCCCACCGCGCTGCCAGCATAAATATGCCAAGTATTTTAAGCCCCCTCAAAGGATCTAGATTCGCTCGTAAGCCAAACTGAAAACAGCCTCAGAGCTGTAAAGGCGGCTGCACGGGGTACACCGGCACACAGCATCAGCTACAGCCCAGAAAACAACCGGCCCCTTTCAGCCGCAGGAAACTCTTCCTACCCCTTTGCAATGCACATTAGAAAGCTGGTTTAAAGCCAAAATAAAGGAAATTTCTGTTTCAGCATGCTACAGACAGTTAAAACTAGCTCTGAATCCATCCCGGAGCAGTTCCTAAGGTACATCACTATTTTCAATAAATAAGTAGAGCTCAAAATGCAACTCCTGTGCAGGGACCTTAATCAGCAGCCAGCGTTTTGAAGAGTCATTCCTGCCAAAGTCCCTGTGTCCCAATAAATAAGTCAGAGCTTTTCAGAAGTCCAGAATCTGGGAAGCAGGGGTATAAATACGGCTTCAGGAACCAAATTTAACTTTAAAAACTTTTTAAAAAGTCTGAAAACAGTGGTGAGTGCAGGGACAGCAGTCCCCAAATGAGGTTTTTTTAGTGCCTTGGCATGTCAGAAGCTGTATTACTGCAGAGACAGGCACCTACCTGGCTGGTTTTCACAGTGCTGCATCCCCCAGAGACTTCAGCAAACACAAGCCCTGACCTGCCCGGCCTCCCAGGACACAGCTACAGGTAGCCTGGGCTCACCAGGGGCCAGGGTGGGCTCCGGCAGCAAACAAGGCAGCCCAGGGCATTCTCAGGAGCAAAGTTTGCAAAATCCAGTACTGCAACAGGAGCCAAGAGCCAGGATGCAGGCGGGTAGCAGAGGGATAATCCTGACTTACTTTGGGGGTAGGGGTTTAGTTCGGCAAAACAGCAGCAAGGAAGGATGCCACAGGTGAAGACCGACGGGTGCCGGGGCCCCACAGCCAGGCGAATCCTTGTCCTGTGACATCTTGCCCTGTCAAGTGCAATTACTATAATCTTCCACAGCCTCTCAAAATACGGATCCTGGCTTAGAAACCGGGCATCCGCAGCATGAAAGCTGCCTTTGTGCCCGGGCAGAGCCTGGGCGCGAGCCAGCCGTTAGGTGCACGAAGAAAATGAGTTCTCCACGTGCTAGGAGAAGGGAGGAAAAGCGAGCTTTCCCGCCCGACCCCGCTGCAGACAGGCTGGATTTCACCCACGTCTCCCCTCAGCGGCCACCGAGGGGCTGGGAGCTGCACGGCCGCGCGTCCCCCCAGGAGTAACGGGGCTGGTGGCCACGGAGAACCATCCACTTCTGCACCCTGGGTGAGCAGGGCACAGCCAACACATCGGACCATGGGGGCAGCTCATGGGAAAAAGGTAACGGGGCAGTTTTATTCGGGGCTGCTGAGGTGGTGGCGGGATGATGGAGAAGGCACCATCTGCTCACGTGTTGCTTGTTTTGCCCCGCGCGTGCTGAGGCGGCTGCTGGCAGTGAGGGATTAGAGGGAAGGGACCCGCTCCTGGCTGCGGGTGTCACTTGTCAGGGCTGGATTAAGTAATTTCACCTGATGGGCTCAGCATCTGGGCCTGCTGGGGCTTTCAGGACAGCAAAGAGGGGATCAGAGCATCGCGTTAGGACAGGCAAAGTTTAGTTTTCTGGGGACAACCATCAGGCTTGCTCCAGGCGCGTCTGGCAGCCTGCAGGCTGTGTCCCACAGACGTGGTGCAGAGCGAGCCCTAAGTATTTCTTGACCTGTGAATTGCTGCCAGCTCCCTCCCAGGATGGGGAGGATCCAGGCCAGGTCCCACGGCACCCACGTGCCCCTCCATCTCCTCCAAATTCCCCAGGGACAGTGGTCAAACAGCTCTGAAAGGAAATGGGGCTTTACGGAGCCATAGCCTTGCGGAGGCGGCTAGAGATGGCTGTGCTGAGGATGCTGTTAGATGTCATTTTGCTCTGATGTCTGATGACATCAGTGCCCAGACACACATCATCACTATTCAGCTGGGATGCCCTCATCCAGTATTAGACTTATGTAGCTTGTCTCCCAGCGCTAAGAGAAATGCACTCATGCACCACACCACGACAGTGATTTCTATTGCAATGGGGAGGGCAGCGACCCTTTGCCCCAGGTGGGACCCTGAATGCTCAGCTGGGCACAGCCTGTGGCCTTCGGAGCTGTGGGCACGTTCAGAGCAAGGTGACTCGCAGAAGTTTGCAAACCTGCTGAGCTTTCTTGCAAAACCTGAGCTAGGCAGAGTTTCGGGGGAAACATGCATAAAAGCAACTGGCCAGTGTTACCAACACCCAGGAGGAAAAGCAGTGCTGATGTGGGACAAACAAGCATTTATCTGTCTTCCTGGATTGCAGAGAAGCAGCAGGTATGGGAGATGCTGCTCCCAGCCAGCCCCCTGTGTTTCCAGCACCCATCCGAGGTGGTGATACCATGCTGGGTCCAGCACGTCGGGGAGCCACGGTCGTTCCCAAGGCTGAGGGCTATGACAGCAGAGCCGGGAGGAGCCGTGCTCTGCCCACAGCTAATCCCCAGACCTTTGATCACGTGGCCATGACCTTCAGGCCTCAGCGCATTTGTGCGGGCATTATGGAAAGCAGGAAAATAAGCTGGTTAGGTCAGGCTTGGCCCAGTGCCACCCAGTTCAGCCCTGCTGCATTCAAAGGGATCTACGCCAGCCTCCCGACCCCCAGGCCGGACAGCTTTTGGACGGCTTTCCCCATCGCTCCCCTCTTTCCCCCTCTTTCCAAAACACCAGGATCCCACCGCAGCCGGGCACTGAATGCCCTGGCTTTGAAATGCTCCCTGGAGCTCGGGCTCTCCTGTCACGCCAGCTCACCCTCAGCTTGCTGGCAGCCCCAAAAACCTCCGAGACAGTTTTCCTTTCCTGGGCACTGAAAGGTCAGTGATTTCATTCCCATTTCAGCCTCCCAAACGTTGCCCGGGTTAACAAAAGCCTGTGCCACTGCCCAGCTGGCACCCAGCAGGGACATCTGACTGGCATCTCCTGGGTCAGTGCTTTACCCCTAAGCTGAAGCTGGTGGGGGACGGCAAAAAGACAGCTTCTTCTGCTACATTTCCACGGTGGGCATGAAGAGCAGGCTCCAGTGCTCCCAGACCAGGTTGGGTCCAGGGGATGGGCAGAAAAGGTCTCCTTCTCCCAGCCCTTGTAGAACCAGCTCAGCTCAGGGCACAGGGCAGGGGCTCTGCCAGGCAGGACCCCAT